TTTGTAGGAATGATCGACTCATGGTCCTGACAAAGTGCTGTTATTTTTCGGGTCGATCAGAAATCCAATATGGCCATCACGACCGCCATTTTGAAAAACTATTTCAAACTTAAAGTCAAGATTTTTGCTGGGCCAATTGAACTGAAATTTTGTAGGAATGATCGACTCATGGTCCTGACAAAGTGCTGTTATTTTTCGGGTCGATCAGAAATCCAATATGGCCATCACGACCGCCATTTTGAAAAACTATTTCAAACTTAAAGTCAAGATTTTTGCTGGGCCGATTGAACTGAAATTTTGTAGATATGATCGACTCATGGTCCTGAGAAAGTTTTGATATTTTTCGGGTCGATCAAAAATCCAATATGGCCGACACGGCCGCCATTTTGAAAAACTATTTCAAACTTAAAGTCAAGATTTATGCTGGGCCGATTGAACTGAAATTTTGTAGGAATGTTCGACTCATGGTTCTGAAAAAGTGTTGTTATTTTTCGGGTCGATCAGAAATTCAATATGGCCGTCACGGCCGCCATTTTGAAAAAACTATTTCAAACTTAAAAACAAGTTCTAATAGGCCGATTTGACTGAAACTCGGTCTAGGAATGATCAGCTCATGGTCCTGACAAACTTAAGTTAACGTTATATTTAACTTTTTTGTACTCAAATTGGTACATATTTCAACAACAAAAATAAATACTGTAGGACTCAGGTGACCGTTTAGGCCCATGGGCCTCTAGTTAATTTAGCAGTCATGATTGTCGAGCAGTTCATTACTGTAACATCATGTTTAGTTCCCCTCCCCCAACCTCACTTCATTTAACGTGACTGTTTGGATAGCCTTGGATTATTTAGACAAAGCGTAGAGATCATGATGAGTTTTTATAGAGACATGGGCGGATGAAATCCCATATGTGGAAACGTAATATTACTGGTTTTGCCAGTCTAGTAGAGTATCATATATAAATATAAGTTTATACTGCAAGTAACGCACAAAGAACAGCTATTTCTTATACACTGTCGTGTGGACGTCTGGATCTAGATCTGGGCTAGCATTCTTTTCTGTGGTAAGTTTAATTTCGGTAGCAAGAAATAGCCTAGATTCAAATGAAATGAATAAAGTTGACAGAAGGCTGGAGAAACCTGCCATTGAGGTAATACACTACATGATGTCGACTGTTACAAGCGTTAATAAACGCGTCATCTGGGCTTAGTGCAGGGTTCTAAAGGTGGTACAACTGTATTTGTTATTTACTGCAGTCCTTCTGGTGGTGTTAACATCACCCTAACGTTAAGACACCCACTGGTTAGCTCTTGCTAGAATAATCATGTGACTAGTGGCCTGGGTTGTCATATTGATAACCATTTCCAGGTTTTGGTATTGAGATAGCACTTATAAGAATGGCTCCAGACAATGGTTAACATCAATAACATGCAACCTTATCTGGTTTCGTAGACATCAAAACGCAATTTATCAATGGTCAGATTACAGATCAATGGTCAGATGACTGCATAATGGGACATGTATGATCAGCTGCTTTATTTTTTCCCAGTTGATTGTAGAAAAATATTGTGAAATGGGCAGAAATGCATTTGCTTACAGAAAATACCTAACATGAATGTCTTACCAATATCTTTTGTCTTCAACAGATGCACCTTGGTGTGATCACTGCAAAGCTTTGGCACTCGAATTTGTTAAAGCTGCTACAGCTTTGAAGGACTCTGGGTCATCCATCAAACTTGGCAAAGTTGACGCCACTGTTGAAAACAGCTTAGGAGAGAAATTTGGAGTTCAAGGTTATCCAACATTGAAGTTTTTCTCAAGTGGTCAACCCAGTGAATACCAAGGTAATTGTATTTGTAGACTAACAAGAGAAGTCCATATGAAGTTTCCCCATGACGGAAAAGAGTCATAGAGAAAACATGCGTCCTGGGAGAAAAAATAAAATGATTGATATTACTGACTCTGTATGCCAGGATGTAAAAGTCTACTTACCCAACGTCAAGGCAAAAAATTCGATGCTGACAAGTGCAATATTTTCCACATTTGCGTGTTAGTAATGCCAGTTTAGAAGACTGATGTCAATGCTCAATTGTCAATTCTAGTAATTTAAAGCGGAGGAATAAAATTCCAGTTTGGGAAAGAAATTGTTTGCCACATGTCTTGGTACATAACATAAAAATGTTTTAAAAGATTGACCTATAATACATAAAAGTTGACATTTTTTAATATCAAAGAATTTTACACAAATGAAGCTTTCAAAGTATCTTCAAAATATATATTAACTTAACCACTGAAGTTTTGATTGCATTCTAAATATATCTTGTATAGGTGGCAGATCGGCCTCCGACATTGTTAACTGGTTGAAAAAGAAGACTGGTCCACCGTATACTTGATGATGTTGCTGCTGCTAAGAAATTTGCTGAATCTATTGATGTTGTTATTGGATTCTTCAAGGTAATTCATAATAGATAATCTTTGAAATGCATCTGTACTAAGGTTATTGTATGACTCTTGCTTTCATACACAGTATTATCTAGAGGCACGGCCCCAGAGATTGAAGCCAGAGCGTGATCAGTGTTCACCCCAGGCTGTTTTAGCGTAACGGTACCGTTACGCATGGATTTTGAGCCGCTATGTATCACCAGTTTACCGTTACGCATGCATTGGACCGTTACTCATCAAGTTTTCACAAATTGATAACTTCTCCCTTTTCCAATTAGACTCGCCCTCATTTGACAAGCTTTTTATTGTTCTCTACGATCGACACCCTGATCAACGATCTCTGCCCTGTGGGTAGATTTACCTTTGGGGATGTGAACTACCTTGGTGTGAAACGTGAACAATGGACCACAATTACCAGCGTGTTATTCGTCTAATCATAATTAATCATGTCTGTTAATTTTCAAGGCTTCAATCTACCTTTTTTTTTATTTTAATAGGTGACCGACAATAACACCAACACGGCCCCAGCAAAATAAGAAATACAAACACATGAGTACAGACAGTAGCTTTGTATTCAGCTAAATGCCAATTATCTGCTGACTTACCTTTGCTGCATTGTTTATGGCCATCAAATTTTAATGCCTGAAATAAGTAAGCTATGTGAGAACCTTTTCCCAACAATAAAACTGTCAATACAACTTTTAGAGAACTTTTGCTACAGTAAGATAGATCGTAAGTGAGCAGAATGCGCGTGGCAGCCATATTGTTTTGATAACCTTAACAACCTCACGTAATCGGTGATGCAATGACTTTTGTAACATGGATGAGGAGCGTTAATCATTTTCGCGAGGGCTACCAACAACCATTATTCATTAGTAAGCAGTTATAGTAAAGTGTGAGATAGATGGGTATGTATATAAGCTCTCGTAGTTATGCTGAGAATTTATTTAAAAATATATATAGCATGTTTTTTTTTAATTTTTAGATCACCTGAGACAAAGTCTTAAGTGACCTATTGCGATCGCCTTTTGTCCGGCGTCGTGCGTCCGTAAATAATTTACATTTTCGACTTCTTCTCCAAAACGCCTCAACCAATTTCAATGAAATTTGCAGAAACCTTCCATGGCCAAAGGTCAACCAAAACTGTGAATCATATGGTCCCCAGCCACCAGAGGCCTGAGGGGCGGGGCCAAAAAGAGCAAATTGACTGAAATTTCAAAAATCTTCTCAAGATCCAGATATGGTAGAATCAAATACTCTTCATAGATGGAATGGTCTTAAGGTGCTTTACCAAAATTGTGAATTTCATTACCCTGGGGTGTCACGCTTCCGCCTGGGGAGGGGGTAAACTTTACTATAGTTGTATGATCCCCAGCCCCCAGGGGCCTGATATGGTAGAATCAAATACTCTTCATATATGGAAGGTCTTAATATAAAATGCTTTACTAAAATTCAGCTGACTGACAGAACCACTATTTGTACATAGTACATATACTACCCAGATCTTTAACACTACTTTTACATTACATGTAGTTCAAGTTACCTTTATTCCAAAATGATTTCTTTTTCATTTGGCAACATCGATAACATCAGTTTTTACATAACTCAGGTGACCGTTAAAGCCCATGGGCCTCTTGTATATTAAAGAACGATACTAAGTTAACCCCCTAATTAATTGCAGGACAAGAATGTAATAGTTTTACCCAATTTATCAAATCATTACTTCTTTAAAATTATCATCTTGTTTATTGGTTATCTGCAAAGGGGCACGTACAGAGCCTTCAGTTTTGTCATGACATGTTCTAAGGGTGTAGAAAAGTTTGTTTTGTGTTTCGAGAGCAGAACCATTGGATTTCAAAGCTGTTTTGGGTATTAGACCCCAGCCATCTTTGTTTAAGGCCATAGTGTTAACCATATGGCCAAGTCTTCCCAGAAGGTAAACAAGGGAATAAACAATGTGGCGCATTTCCAGTGCATTTTAACTTATCAAAGATTTTGAACATAATTAAGGCTTGTCACGTACTGAAATTCTGCAATGAATCAATGCAAAGTGAACAAAAATATGATCACATTGGTCTTTAAAAAGACAGCAATGGGAGAAACAAAATCCAAAAACAAAGTTTAATACTTTCCATAAGACAAAACATATTAGTTGAGAAATCAATATCACTCGACGCAAAGTGGTGAGAAACTTGAATCAACCTGATACTCAACAAACAGTAGTTATCCCGGGTATATAAGACATTAATATCGCATCACCTGCGACACAACCTAAGTGATCTGTGAGAAAGGGATATCACAGATGCTCACTTTTGCCAAAATGTATTGTATTGTATCTAATTCTTTATTTATTTATCGAGGGTCACAAACAGCCCACAGGCTACGAGTTCCTTTCCTCACATTTATCAAACAAGTGAACAGCACAATTTTAACCGACAGTACAAAATATAGGAAATGCATGACCATTTTCACTGGTTATTAGCAGAATGAAATATTTGGATATTTTATTCTGTTGGTTGATTGAGTTTGAGCCGTTTATAAGCAGTATATAAAGCTGATCAGGAATTAAATTGAGTGTCTGCATTGTATCACATCAGATGTATCTCAGATTTGAGGTATAAATTCTAAACGGTAACAATTGCTTTGTGACTGTGTGACTTGAACTTGTGACAAGTTTCTTGTCATGTACCTTAATGTAATTGTTATACATGTGTAATGATTATATTTTACAGAGCGACAGGAAGGAAGGGATGAATGCATTTGTTGAGAAGAGGAAGCCAAACTTTACTGACAGTTGAACTTGTACTACGGAAGCTTTTAGTAGTGTGCCAAAGATGAATAATTGGAGAAAAGATAATTGATTACTATCCTAAATTTGTCTATCAAATCAAACACTAATAAGGTTTTTAACCGTCCCAAGATCAAATTCTGTGATGAAGGGAGGCTTAATGCTTGATTTGGATTATAAACATAGCTATATTGTGAGGGTACCCAAAATGGGGCACTTTTCATATACTCATATACACCATGCATCATTAATATTTTGTTATGCAAATAAATGGTATCTATTCTACATCAAAATTTGTACAGTTTTAAGGAATTGGAGCAAATTTTTTCTGCCTAACTCTTTTATTTTGTTAAAAAATTAGAAATTAAAAAATTTAAATTAAACAATTCGAAGGAAATGGTATGTGCAACAACATAAATATCCTATCACTTTTCTATTAAAGGAGAAATATATATGTTCTAATCAATTGTTTAATTATAATTTACTGAAAGTTATCAGAAAGTGTCTCAACTTTCTTAAATTGAAGAAAAAATATTTTAAATTTTTAAATGTTGTAAATTATTTCTAAAACAACTATTATGACGGTAATATGATGGTTATCTGCAAAGCTAACGTGAACATGACTCAACTTAATGAATTCTAATAAAAGACAAGCGTGCTGGTGATACCAAATAAAATAAATGGGTATTTATTGTTTCATTATAGAAGAACATTTGATGTTCCAAAAATCAAATAGGAAATATTAAATTCATAATATTTTTATGATTTCTTAAAAAAAAGTGTTCCACTTTGGGTACCTTCATGTTACTTGTTCTAATGCGGTCCAATACCATATCTCTGGAGATCATGGTAATAGCAGGGTACTATGACTCAACCTTACTAGTGTTTGGTGTGGGGGGTTGGGGGTTGGTGATTGAGACTGATGAACAGGTATCTGTTGTAGGGTGAAATCACATTTAAATTCCAAGTTAACCTTGTTACTCGGGGCATGTTTCGAAAGGAGGTTCTTATGTACGTGGCAATGAATTTCGGATTTCTGTTTTTATATGCAAGAACTGCTTGATAATTTGTCCTTTTATTTTATTTAGTCTTTAGGAATGCAGATAAAGTCATAAACATTTCTGGTTACAGTAATGTATTCAGGGTTATACCAGCATGTCAGAAAGTCCCTATTAATGTTATGAAATTGAAACTTAAAGATATCTGATGGTGATTTTTTTTTTTATATAATCAGAATGGAATATGAATGTGTCTTGTGAATTGAATCAAAGTGGGTTGAAAACCAAGAATTTCTGAAGTATTTTGTATGATTGTGATTATTTTCATGTTAATTTCACAGAGCTTTATTAATGCTGAGCATTATAGATGCTCAGGCGGTTTGATAGTGCTCACACGTATAGTATACCAATAATGAGATATTGAAACATTGGTATGTCATAATATATTGTAGATAAGAGAGATCAATAAAGAACTCATGCATTTTCAAATGATGTTGTCCTCGTTTTCACATTTTTTATACATTGTACCACGGACTTGGATGACAGTCCGTGATGGTACTTGGTATTAAAGGAAAGCGTCATTAGGGTCAAAACATGATAACAGATTTCCATCTGTTATAAAAAACCGTCCACGAAACCGTTTTGCCGATCTTTAGATATAAATTTTAACAAAAATGTTTAGGAGCTTCGTCATCAGTTATAACTTACCTCCCTTTGACCATCACTGTTGGGGCCTGTTCGTTTATCTGAACATAAATTGAATATCACATCCGGAGAGAATCCTGGCGGACCTGCAAATGTTTATGCAGGCCTTGGAAGGCTATGTCAAGGTTCGCCTGAAAGCAGCATCATATTACAAGGTCCGACCTTATTTAATAAACGAACAACTGTGTTCCGACCGGTTCAACCATTTATACAAATAGTATTAACCCTTTCGCACAACTGAAATCGGTCGGGCGGTATCCGTGAACTCTGGAAATCTTTAGAAATATTCTTCCAAAATAATTACGTATAATGTAATTATTAGGAAAAAAAGCCATCAAAATTAAATTGTCTATCAAAGGCGTACATATATATAGGTTTTATGCCTTTCTGTGTCCATCAAATTTTAGAATGTCACACCAGAAACTTAGGATATTTTGCACGCAAGTTGAGAACACTTCAGATCGGTTTTGCGTCAATTATTGTTTAAAATGTATAAATGGGGACAGCCGTAACGCTTATCACGGAATTAGATGCTATCTAAGTCCGTGTGCTTATGAATAAATTATTAAAAAAATATTAACCAAAAAGTCTGTCTCTAACTTATCAGTCTATAAAATAAATGATCATAGCTGTTAATAGGACAAAATATCAAACATGGGCGCAGTTTTCATTCATGCAAAAAAATCTCCGTTTGTGGTTTTATCGACTGTTCATCAGCACGTATTAACTAGGAACGGGATAGTTAATTCCGTCCGCAGTTACATGTATGTTTATTTCAGATGTTATTTCCGTCCGCAGTTACATGTGTGTTTATTTCTGATCTCTATATCAACGATCACGGTAAGACCTGCAGGTGTACTTATGGAGAATACTCTCCGTGCCAGGGTTAGGATTGCTGTGGTACTTGGCCTGGTGTCCTACTCAAAGTGCACGAGAAAATATGTTGGTACATAAAATGATGTTCTTTTGAACTGTGTGACGTACTGTTGAACATAACCATATATATATATATATATATATATAAACAACTGACAAAAGTTTCTTAGTACCTCCCTAGCGCGTTCACCCCTTTAGAGGTTCATATATATATATATATGCAAGTGTGTGATACCCCTATATAAATTCACACACTGTAGGCCCTCACTACTCCAACAATGTTAGAGGTTTTACA